AATGGAGCCACGTCTCTGAACTCCTTTAAACCCATCAACGGCTCTGACCGGTGTCCATGATACGACTACTGAGACTGTTGAAATCTCGCATACTGATCGTATAATAAAGTAAACTTATCTTCTGAAAAACTGACATTCAGCCCCTCATAAGGATAATATGATGAATTTAAAAAGACTCTAACATCTCGTACGTGACAATGATCAAACTCTGCCATTGATAATTTCGCGTTATGTTTGCGGTTGGTTTGCAAGGCAATGACCACAAATCGTGGTTTGTCAATTTGGGATGAAGTTTTTATAGACCAAGTATGTTTACGTGTTTTGGGTAGCAATGGATATTCATATAAGTCCCAGGAACGGAATGCCAATGGAATAGCTCTATCTTTTTCTAAAAGTTTTAATAGGCTGATTCTTTCACGATCTGATACTTTGATGTGTGGATCTCACCAAACTATTTTATTTATCATAATATCTTCTACAACTTCACCTGTATTTAACTTGATCGCATTAAGATTTGTATTGCAGGTATTGTAGTGAAGGTAGTACATATAGGTCTTGTTGATTAATAGGAATACGTATTTCGTCATTCTTGTTAAAACTAGTTACATATGGTTAGTATGAATGATACTCAAAACTTTCAATGCTGTTATCGTATGATGTTTGTTGAGATTCGTTTAAAATATTCATTTTATCAAGCCAACTAGCTTAAGAAATTCTTTGTTAGACTTGGTAAGCTTCTTTTTTAGCTGAAGAGGTGTGCCTTTATGAGATCTTCTTTTAAAACTGGCTTGGATACACGAAATAGACGGGCTTTTATTGAAATTTATCATATTTTTTTTCGGAAATGTAAATACAGTTATACTTCTTCACCTCGTAAATTTATCTCTTTATTCTCAGCGTTCAATAACTTTATATTGATAGCACTTATGGAACTTTGGTTAACGGGAAAATAAATCAAGTTTCTGGGTACTTCAATTATTCGATAACCAGGTGGTACATTAGGTGCAAATTCAAAAATTATATGGCTTGCTTTCCCGTTGATAAATGGACCACTAACTACATCGCATTCAATCCGCACGATGGTTGTCGATAGAATACTGACAGGATACTTTGATTCAGTACTTATATTTGCTTTTATTGTTTCCATACCAAAGCCTAAAATTTTACCCAGTGATTCGCTTCTATTAAAGTGCACATATTCAGAGCAAAAAATATTTGTTTTCAATGTATAATTGTTACAAGTAAGTTTTAGTACAGCGTTTTTAATATTATTTTTTAGATAATCACAAATATCTAGAAGCTCGTAAGACCCTTCAGGAATTTCGATCATTTCTTTTTCACCATAATAACATTTATTGTTTCTTTCATCTATATTGGGAATAGAATAGAAAGTTGAAAAATACAAAAGACCACATTCGTAGTCTCCTCGTAGTTCTATTGTCGGTGAATAGTTCGTTGATAAAGAGGCTACTGTCCCAGTTATAGACACAGTGAAAGACATTTTTATACTGATACGTTTATTTATTTCATACACTATATAAATGCTTTTTCCAGTAATTCCTTAAAAATTTTAGACAAAGATGTCCACAGTTTGTAGCACCAAACGCTTGATGTCGCGCATAATTATAGTTAATAGGTAAGTTATGCATATATTTAACTAATTCTAACGGGGGCTTTAAATTACCAAAACTATCATAATATTCTACGTATTTATTGTGCTTTACAAAGGATACCCAATGCGTTCCAGGATTTTTATAATTAATTATAATTTGTACTTTACGTACACGTACTACCTTCACTCAGTAGTTTATATATCGAGAGAAAGGTGAACGTTTATAACAGCACCACAAAAGAAAAGGTATCAAACGTACATTTTGTCAATAATCCCGTGCTATTTCTTTTTCAAGACATACGATTTCTTCTCCTGCCGTCGCCGAATCATTACTTAAACAAAATGTAAATGCGTGTACAAAGAATTTTACATTTCATAAAGTATCATCAAAAGTTATTGTAAAATATTTTAAAACTATTGATGTTAAGAAAACTGCGGATCTGTGGGGGATTTCCGTTAAAGTTATTGCGTCAATAATAGATACAATCGCGCCTCATTTAGCTATTATTTTTAATACTAGTATCGAATCTGGTGTGTTTCCTGATTTAATGAAGCATAGTAAAGTAATACCTTTATTTAAATCTGGTAGTACATTAGACCCCGCCAATTTTAGACCTATTTCTGTACTACCAACACTTAGTAAGATTTTTGAAAAAATTAATCTTGATCAAATGTTGAATTTCTTTAATATAAATAATTTACTTCATAAAAATCAATTTGGTTTCACAAGGGGTCGATCGACAACTGATGTCGGTGTTGAGCTGATTAAATATATATTTAATGAATGGGGGAATTCACAGGATGCTTTGGGTATATTTTGTGACCTATCCAAAGCCTTCGATTGTGTTCACCATGAAACATTAATCAGGAAACTTCAACATTACGGTATAAGAAGTGATGCTCTTAATTTAATTATTTCATATTTAAGTGAGAGAACGCAAAAAGTTGTCATTAACAGTATGAGTTCTTCCGGGTCGATGGTACAAATGGGCGTGCCTCAAGGCTCAATTCTCGGCCCCTTTCTGTTTCTTGTATACATGAATGACTTACCTTACATAGTAGGAGATAATCATGATATAGTATTATTTGCAGATGACACTTCTTTAATTGTCAAATTAAGTCGACAATTGCTAAAATATGATGAAGTAAATAATGCTATAGGTAAATTAGTAAATTGGTTCAATGTTAATAATTTGCATTTAAATGGCACAAAAACGAAATGTATGAAATTATGACTCCAAATGTCAAACAATTAAATACTAATGTAATTTTAAATGTGGAGAAACTGAGTCTTGTAGATACCACCATTTTTCTTGGAATCGCACTAGACGCGAAGCTTCAATGGAGCCCCCATATATCAAAACTAGCAAGCAGACTTAGTTCTGCAGCATATGCCGTAAAAAAGATTAGAAGTCTAACTAGTGTTGAAACAGCTAGACTAGTTTACTTTAGCTATTTCCATAGCATAATGTCGTATGGTATTTTGCTATCTGGACACGCAGCTGACACTGAAATTATATTTGTTTTACAGAAGAGGGCCATAAGAGCAATTTATGATTTAAAGCCTAAAGTGTCGCTGCGACAAAAATTTAAGGATATTAATATATTAACTTTGACCTCTCTATACATTTATGAAAATGTAATGTACGTACACAAAAATAAAAGTAGTTTTACAAAAATAAGTGATATTCATTCTGTAAATACTAGAAACAGACAAAAGCTAGTAGTACCAGTTACTTGACTCCATCGAGTCAGTAATTCATTCTTGGGGCGATGTATACGCTTTCACAACAAAATTCCAGAAAATATACAAAATTTGACCTACTCAAAGTTCAAAAACTTTATTAAACTAAGTTTCTATAAAAAGGGTTATTATAATATTAAATAATTTATAGATGATAATAACCCCTGGAAATGAGGTGATGCCGAGCGCCATCAAAAGTTATATTTTTAAGCTAAAAGTTAAGAGGTGTTTTTTTGTTTGATCTGCCATAAATTATTTTTAATAAAGTGCCATCATAGCTCCAGTACACGTTGGCCGAGCGCGCTCGCCGAGTGCGTTCGGCCAACGTGTACTCGGCCGTTTTGTGTGTATTTGGCGTTTGCGGCCAACACTCGCCCACAAGCCGTATAGTGTCGGTTTTCCGTGCACAAATCAAAGAAATTTGGCGCAAGCCGCAAACAGCGATCACACGTTGGCCGAATGTTCAGTTCATAGTTACGCGTCGAAGTAGACTGTAGTGTCGGCTTAATAAAATTGTTTCAACATGGCGACATGGACTAATGAGGAAATATTTATTTATTTATTTAACAGTTTATATACACACATAATTCGATAGGAAAATGGTAAAAACAGAATTATGTACAAAGGCACTGCCTATTCCATGATAAAATTTCTTGCAGCAGGCCTATTGAAGGATAGTTGAAGGAAGGAAGGAATACATAAATATACATATACAATACAAATATATACATATACATACACACACACACACACACACACACACATATATATATATATATACGCATGTATACATATAAATAAATATATATTATGAAAATATATAATTCAATATAATATATTTTTAATGTTACTTATATGCATACCAACACATTACGATTTAATAATTATGGACTGAAATATTGATTCATTGTTCATTGATTGATTCTCACAATGAATCAGTTATATGGAACCCCAAACATGAGCAACATAAAAATAAAACCAGAGTAAGTAACTTGCCTAACTGCATTAAATAATACATGTTTAGTTGCGATTTCAGAGTACCTATCTAATGATTAATATTATTATAAATTATCTCTGCGTTTATGTTGCTCAGGGATAATGTAGCTTAGGGGCTTCTTTTGGGCTATCATTTATTTTGAAAAAAACCCCAGCGAAGCGGGCACGGGTCAGCTAGTAGATCCTATAAAGGTTTCTTTTTTCCTTTTGAGGTCGGAACCCTAAAAAGGACAAACTGGAATTATTGTTGCATGTGTGGTTTTTTTTCGTTCACTCTGAGAAGAGTGAAGCGCTGTATAAGTATATGACAGCGGCCGCGATTGCCCTAACGTTCATCATCATCTAGCTACCAACCACAAACTATATAGAAACACTACGCGTTCTACCAACGCAGAATGAAACACGACAACGTGTGAACGGCACCACGAAAGTCTGCCGAGTGCGCTCGCCAAGCTCGGCCAACGTGTACTGGAGCCATCAGAGTAACTTACAAAGTAGGATCAGGGTACGTTGGCAACACTGATCTTCTGTTTGTCATTTGTCATTTTCTAAAAATACAAAATTACACAGATTTGATAAAAAAATTACTTTTTCAATACAAAAAAATGTTCTGTCAGCCGTTGTTAGTTCGTAATATATAATTATAAAATGTCTTTTATTAATGATCCTGTTCTTAATATTATAGTGGTCGGATTTCATCATAAAAGAGGCTGCCAGGTTTGTGTAGGCGTCATGGTTGTTCAATAATCAATAATATTTTCATCTTTGTTTCTTCTTCATCTTATAAAATACTTTAACGTATTAAAAAATTAATATCGTAAAATAAACAATTCTGGGTGCTGTACCGACTTTCTACACCATTAACATTTTTAGTGAAGCAATACTTAGTTAATAGTTAGTTTTATTAGATTAAAGAAATGCTGCTCAGTTAGACTTCTGATAAATTATCATATCCATGTTGCATGAATTCTTAAGGCTTTAAGACATAGATATTCATCTATTTATTCATTACAGCCCATTAAAAATCACCCCTGAAAAATAGGCCTCCTCCATAGATTACCTCATAGGGGGATAATTGCTATAGTTGCCACGCTTGGTAGGTGGGTTGGCATTCATTGTTGAGCTGTTATCAGGAAGATGCTGCTGCATATTGCCCGTCTGTGGGTGTTGTAACAGAATATAGGGAAACTGAAACAGATGGGTAGTAGCATTTTCCAGAAAACAACTTAATTATATGAAACTGCATTTGCCAATCTTCCTGCTTAGTGCAACTATGGCAAAATCTCTCCCCTGAGCTAATCTATGGGGGATGAGTATATTCAACAGTGGACTATTCCAGTCCCAGAATATTAATTTTTTGAGTCTTTTAACAGATTACATTCCTGCTTTCAAGCATTATTACTATAATAATTGCTTGTTAGGTTACTTATAATAAAAAGTTGATTTTAGGTTGAACACTGTTATCCTGAGTTGATACCTGGTAAGCCTTGTGAGTTGCCAGCAGCATGGCGATATTTACCGGCATTAGCACTGCCAGATGGATCACATAACTATCTTTCAGATACAATATTTTTTACCCTACCTGGTCTGACAGAGCCTGCTCATACTGTATATGGTATATCATGTTTCCGCCAGATTCCTGTAGAGGTAAGATATGTATTATGTATAAATGTTTCTCTTTTATTTACTGCTTGCTACAAAATTACGTACATTTTGTTTTTATCAGCTTGCTTTGCTGTGTGTAAAATTATCTTCAATACATGATGTCTCTGACTAGATTATATAAGAATGTATTGATTTGCATTTTTATTTTTTACATAGCAAGTCATACAAAAAACAGAAGATATGACTCGGAGTTCTGTTCAAAAGAGTGTATGTGTTATTTGCCGAGCACCATTATTCGGGCGCCTTGCTGTCAAAATGGAATTAGTGGTGAGAGCTTGGTTCCTGCAGGGTGATTTCTCTCAGACAAAGCTACTAGAAGATGCATATAACCACTTAAATAGTTGTCCTGTGCAAATTGATCAAACTTTTGAAGGTATGTTGTGTTTGACTTTTTATATTGGTTATGCTTTGTCTCATATCTAGCAGAACATACCATCCATCCTATTTATTCTTGTTTGACCATGAATTTCTTGGGCATTGTCTCATATCCGACTGGGCAGGTAGGTAATTAAGCACAGTGCCAATATATCTCTGGTATACACTGGTAATGCAATATTGTCATATTCCTATTCACTATGTCACTTCCTATTCCTTGAGAAATAATTTAGGTTCTAGGTTTAAGAAAAATTTCTAGAAGTTTACAAAAAGTATCAAAATTTAATTATAATTATCATTTTTATAAAACAGATTTAATGTATTTTTGTATAACTTGATAAAATATCGGCAAGGTAAATTAATTGATTTTCCTGATTTTATATACAGTACCTAAAGATGCAATAATAATAAATATCATAAATAATAATTTTCGATATTTATTATTATTGTTGTTTGTAATTTGCTAATAGTTTTTGAGATAAAGGACAAATTAATGAATATGTTATACTAAGCAATTTTTGATTTTTTGTCTATTTGTGCTTTATATAAACATATGTATTATATGTTTATATATATGTATTATATGTTTATATATATGTATTATATGTATTTATATAAACATATGTGCTTTATATAACATTTGTCGTTGTAGAAGGTGCATCCTCCGACTACAAGCCTATTAACACTGGTGTTCCACAAGGCCGCGTGCTATCACCAACGCTGTTTCTTCTGAATATCAATGATATGTTGCAAGCCGGTAGCATTCATTGCTATGCAGATGACAGCACTGGTGATGCTCTATACACCGGCCGTGCCAATATTTCTCGGGAAAACGTCACCGAGTACCGGAACAAAGTTGTGTCTGAAGTCGAGTCTTTGCTGGACAAAGTCTCGGATTGGGGGCGACTAAATCTAGTCCAGTTTAATCCTCAGAAGACACAAGTTTGCGCGTTTACCGCTAAAAAGAACCCCTTTGTCGTATCTCCTCAGTTTCAAGGTACTCCCCTTGTTGCCTCAGCCAGTATCGGAATCCTCGGCGTCGACATATCGAGTAACGTGCAGTTTCGTGGTCACTTGGAAGAGAAGGCCAAATTGGCCTCTAAAAAGCTTGGCGTGCTCAGTAGAGCGGGACAGTATTTCATGCCGGCTCAACGCCTGCAACTTTACAAGGCGCAGGTTCGGCCTCACATAGAATACTGTTCCCATCTCTGGGCTGGGGCTCCCCAGTGCCAGCTCCTTCCACTTGACCGCATCCAGCGCAGAGCGGCTCGAATCGTCGACGACCGAGTCCTTTCCGATCGGCTCGACTCATTGGCACTGCGAAGAGATGTTGCATCTCTTAGCATTTTCTTTCGCATTTACCATGGGGAGTGCTCTGAGGAATTGTTCGGATTAATCCCAGCCGCCAAATTTCACGAACGCACATCGCGGCAGAACTCCCGATACCATCCACACCATCTGGATGATTGGCGGTCCACCACTGTGCGATTTAGAAGATGTTTTCTTCCTCGCACAACTTCCTTGTGGAATAGTTTACCACCAGCGATTTTTCCGGACCGATACGACTTAGGGACCTTCAAGAAAAGAGCCTACTCCTTTTTAAAAGGCCGGCAACGCATCTGCAATTCCCCTGGTGTTGCGGTTGTTCATGGGCGGCGGTAGTCACTTACCATCAGGTGAGCCGCATGCTCGTTTGCCCCCTCTCCCATAAAAAAAAAATAGTTATGTAATTATTAGCCATAAATCGCTTTAATACCCAAAAAAAATATTAAAGAAGCAACCCAAATGAATTGGCATTTTCACTTTTCAGATAAAGAGAATATCCATATCTAAAAGAAAAATGAAATGATAATTAGCTTGATAATTTTTAAATGTATGTTTTCTCTCATTTCTGTTCACCCGGGTAACCCATAATACAGGGTTTATACCTGCATCAGGCACGAGACTCTCAACGAGATTTTACAATTCTAAGCTGATCATCTCCAAACCCTAAGGAGTAGTTCAAACAGATCAAATCAAAAATAATCAAAAGACAGGACATTAATTTTTTTTTATTCTATTATAATTTAAGGGACATTTACCGCTTAGGGTATGTCAGTCCCATCATACCCTAATATACATGACTTACTCATATAACATTACTTAATAACTACATGGGCCATGGATTCGAACAGAACTTTCGCATCGTCGCCATTTGGTTGGGATAGAACATTATGGAATGTGCCTATGTCAGTTCTGTTCAAATTCAAGACCTTTATGAAATTACTTCTAATAGACTCAAATCGAACACATTCCATCAATATATGGTATAGGTCTTCTATAACTCCACAGTCTTCACAATTGGGCGAAGTTGTTTTTCTCATTAGAAATACAAATTTCTTACATGGAACGTGTCCAGATCTGAGTCTATGAGCAGTAGTAACTAATTTCCTACTTAATCTAGTGTTCATGAACCAGGGCACATGAAGAGGCTGACACTGTATGGTTTTGTACCATATTCCTTTTTCTAGTGACCGCTTGTTAAAGTATTCCTTCCACATTTCATAACAAATATTTTTGAATTTAGGTAAAACTTCTGAGTGATCCAAAATAATATTAGTTTCCTTTCCATTCTTAGCTGCATATTTCGCTAACATGTCAGCCTTTTCGTTGCCCCGTAACCCAATATGCGATGGGACCCATTGCAATCTCAGTTGGACGCCTTTTGAAATTATTTCATCTATCTTGGATATAATGTCATAAGCTATCGATGCACCTCTGTAACCAGAGGCACATCGAGCTATGTGTTGCAACGAGCTCTTGCTGTCTGTGCATATAACGACATTTTTATATTGGCTACTGATAACATGTGTCAAAGCTTCTGAGATTGCAATAAGTTCCAAAGCCATAATACTAGTATGAGTACTTATTTTAAAACAATGATTATTTTGATTTAGTATTATATCTATGTTAGGCACATAAAACGCAGACCCATATCCTTCTACACTCTTCGACCCATCCGTAAATATAAAACTCCAGCCATTAAATCTTGTATACAACTCTTTGATAACTTCATACTTTAATAGGTTACTGTCGTATGAGCTTTTTGAATAGTGAATTGTTTCTAGCTTGGGTACAATTACTTCATTTAGGTTAATATTGGTCACCCATGTTCGCAAAGTAAACATTAATAACGGACATGATGTTGCTATCTGAATTTCTTTAACTTCATTATGTGAGGATACCAGTAAAGGAATGATTTTGTTGCTCCAATAATAATTTTGTCGAAGAGTGTAGAGTTCTTCTAATAGCTGAGTAGTTATATTATTTTCTGCAGACTTTAACTTTAGACATAATTTGTATGCTTGATATTTTCTCCGTAAGTACAGTGGAACTACACCAAGCTCACTCTCCATAACGTGAATTTAATAAATCCTCCTATTATCCTTAGTGCCTGATTTTGAATTTTATTTAGTTTATCTAAATGACATTTTGCACTTGCGTCATATAGATAGCAACTGTAGTCTATACGACTTCTGGGACATTCATGTATTAGTAAATAAATGATTTTTATAATATCAGAGTTATAAAGTAGCTAACACCTAACCTCTGGATATCTAAAGATAGGAAAAGGTGTAGGAAAGCCTATGTTCAGCTGTGGATTTTTGATAGACTGTGATGATGACGAATGATCCTACCAGCTTAAAGTATTTGAAAAGTTAATGCTTATTTCATGAGTATGTTTTCATGGTGATTCCATATAAATTTACATAAGGAATGATAAATACAAGTTTATTTTTTATTTTTAATATATTTTATACATCCTAAGTGAAATATGAATTTAAACAAGGTTGATTTGAAAACAAAACAAAAATGGAAAAAATATTACATGGTTTTTTTAGAATATGTAGAATTTTTGATTTTCGACACCCTTAATTTTTATTGTGTTGGTAGTTTGATTATTAACAAACCCCCATTTTTTCAAAATTGTACAGCTTTCAAAGCCAGATTTTTCTACTATGCTGTTAAAATGTGGGTTTAGGTTGTCTTGCTTGTGTGAATTACAATTAATGTCATTTTTAAGCAAAAATAAATATCACAGGAGCAGTCATATGAACTTATTAGTTAAAATATGTACATACAAGTTCAATTTGAAATATAATATATGTAATACTATTTTTATAATAAAATTTCAATTGAACCCTTCCACCCTTTGTATTCTTTTGTAATAGCGTATGCAATAAAGAATAAATAATAAAATATTTAAATATTACATTTTTGTCTATCTGTATCTAATGTATTGTATGAAATTTAATATTTTAGGTTTATCAGTTCAAAAGTTAGTAGAAGGCTGGAAACATAAAGCACTGTTACTTTTTAAATTATTGTTATTGCGGCGGAAGGTTCTCATCTACGGGGCCCCTGCAGGACCATTGTCTTCTACCTTGTTAACACTAGTGTCATTATTACCAAGTTGCTTAGAAAGCGGGCTCTCTCTTGCCGCCAATGTTACGTAAGTGATTTTTTTTTGATTATATATAATGTTATTATTTTCATTACTAATTATGTCACTGAAACTGTTGGGTATGTCAGAGTTATGACACTTAAAAATATCCAAGAATGAGTTTGTTTGTTGTTATTTAAAAAATATTAAAGATATGGGGACACATGACATAATTATTTGTAAGTCATACAAATAGTTGTGCCATGCGGGATTAGAATCTGCGGCCAAACATTTAATATGCTAATTTGCTACTGAGTTCTCAATTTTAATTAATCAAATTAAAAAAACAACCTTTTATAACTTTAACATTTTTCTACTTCATGATTCAGTGAATCGAACTCACCATTCTGTACATGCAAATATGTAGCATACATAATTTTCCTTTGATCTTTTAGATTCAATTGATAGTACGATTAGAACAAATAAAATGTAATTTTCTGTTTGTATGATTGGATTGTTTCAGTGAATATTTTATCAAATTAAAAAATATTAATCATCTATATAACGATTTCCTCGATTTAACAAATTTTTTGCAATCCTCCTAGAACCGGACGTAAGAGTTAATAGAAAATAATAATAATAATAATAAATGTTTTTATTGACTTATAGATTTAACAAATGTAAGAACAGTGAGTTAAACATCTAAACAATGTTCAAGACAAGATACACAAATATTTTCCATTGGACCCCAAACTAGGATAATCCTGTATCTTGGGGTCCGTACCTTTACATTTTGAATGAATTTTGTAAAAACCTCTTTATAATAATTTTTCAATAATTGCAAAACATAAATAGAAAGTATAATTAAACTTTTTTTAAAAGTATTCTACCAATCCATCTAACAAGAATTCATGTTCGAACATGTTTAGACATATTATATTTATCGTATGACAATTCAGGAATTCAAATTGACATAATAAATTAATGTTTAGTGATGTAATAAGAATACCTTTCTTTACAATGGGTTGTCCTTTTTTTTAAGTTTGATTACCTTGCTAAAACGAATTTGAGGTCAATTTAACCTCTATATAACAAACCTCATTGTAACAAATTACTTGATATAATTAATATTTTCTAACCCCTTCAGATTTGTTATATCAAGGTTGTAATGTATATCAAATTAAAATCTAGTAGTCGAAGTAGATTAGTCAGTTTTTACCATCAGTCAAGAGTAATATTCCTCTACAAGATGCAGGGGTATACAAGCTTCATTGTGAATGTGGTCTCTCTTACATAGGACAAATTAAAAGATCAATAAAAACCTGCATTAAGGAACATATAGCTAATGTGAAGAATCTATGCTCCGGGAAATCTGCAGTCTGTGAACACGTTCAGGATCGCCCCCGTCACTGCATCAGATTTGATAGACCACATGTTCTCACTAAAGAACACCAATTATTTCAAAGGATGATTCCCCGAAGCTATTGAAATAAAAAAACATCCTAATTTCAATAGACATGATGGCTGGGTGCTACCATCTGCTTAGGATCTCTATAATTAATAAAATTAATGTTATTATTATTATAACTGCAAGAATTCAAGATACTATATCCTCATTCTGCATAGATTGGACTAAAAATTAATAATTTTAAACTGAAGGTAGCTGTGCTTAACATTATATATTTGGACGTTGAATACCTCAGTCCGCCCCCATCATCATGGGTACTGTTAAATACTCGAAACGTTGAGAATATAAAATAAGTACATGATAAAATCTGTATAATCTATTTTCATATAAATTTGTTTTTTGTGTTATGACATCTTAAAGTTGCTTATGTCGAGTATCAAGTTAAGCTAAGGAACTGGCTTTTGCTATTAATGTTAATAAAAACAAACTGGGTTGTAATCATAAAATATTTTATTTATATTGCATAAAAAATTGAATTTAAAATGTCTAACGTATTTTACGCTCTGAAAATTTATGATATAATATCAAGTATTTACTATATTACACATACATGTATTAAATGTTTAATTAATACAAATTAATAAATTACAAAATTTGTATTTTATTAATTTTTTATTATTTGTATTTATATAAAATAATTTCATGCCTATATTTCAGCTTGTCTCGGCCGTTATCTCCAATTTCTGTACAATTAGAGCATGAAAATGAGGATACAATTGATTCATATATAACTACAAATGAAGCTCATATAAATGGTAATACTCAATTAGAAGAAGAACTGTCCCCTAAAGAAACGGGGAATATGTTGGAAGAGAAGGACAGAATAAGTCGACAGAGTTTTGATGAAACAATTCTGACGGATGTAGTGGATCGACAAGATTTATCTGTAGTCAGGGAAAAATGCCATAGTATTGGGGAGAAGTACAAAGCAAAGACAGTTTCAGAAGCACAACAAAGCCCCACTATGGCCAGAGACATTAGTGTGGATGGCTTGTATACTTTAACTGGACAAATTGACTACACTGAGTGTGGCTTTCCATTGCCATTATTTGAGGATGGTTATTTGTGTTTGCCATATTTGTCTTTGCAATATCTAGATTTACTATCTGATAGTGCTGTACAGGGATTTGTTGTTGGAGCTTCAAATGTGCTATTCAAACAAAAGAGGCAGCTTTTTGATGTGCTAGTAGAATTAAATGAAATGAGGATAGAAACAGCTGATATGGCATTGAGACGGCAGCTTACTTTGGGCACAGAAGATCTGCGTTTTGCCGACCATGTAGTGCGCCACGCTTCAACGCAAGGTGATTCATGGATACGAGATCAGTTTGCTAGTTATTTAATTTATCTTTTAAGAACTTCTTTATTACCAGGTAATACATATTTTGACGAATGACATGATTTTGTTGGTTCCCTGTAATCTTTTTAATTATTTAATACGTTTTTGTGTTTATTGCAGAGGGCAGCAGAGAGTTTGATTCTTATAATGCTCAATTTTTAAGTGCGTTTAAATGTACGCCGGCTTATCAGAAATGGCTTAAATCAACAAATGATGCCGATATCCAGGCTTTTATTAACCTTATGCCTATGCATCCGTTCTCTGGTCAGTTGTCAGTAGCTGATATGAAATTGAAATTTACACAGTAAGTATAGAATTAATTGTAAATTCATTATTTTGTTACTATTATAGCAGTTTGTCAACCGGTGGCGGATAATTTTCGAGTTGTAAATTGCAGTTTTAAATCACAGATGAAGTTTTTATATGTTGTCGGATATTATGGTTGTAGCACAAATGGCTCGGCTCGACCTAGGATCACACTTATCAGAGAATATCAACGTAAAATAGTAGCTTACTTTGCTGCTGTGTTCCATATCGTGAGTGTAGAGAATCGGACTCCAATTTTACTGGAATATTCCATCTTAATTCTCAGAGTTGACAATGCTAGTATGCAATCGATAGAAGCTGACCTCCACGCTCCAAACTAACATTTCATCCACACGTGCGTTCTCCAGGGCAGAGGCGGCTCTAGCCCTTGCAACGCCCGAGTGCAACCACTACCCTGGCGACTAGCGATCCGCCCCGACTTCGCACGGGTGATTTCTGGATCTCGACAACAGCGCCATCTATGTGGTCCAAATGTGAATTTAAACCGTCTAGGGACACATTTAAACACAAAAAAAATCATCAAAAATCGGTCGAGGTGTAATACAGCCGAGTTCGCAATGATTGTCGGCGTGCTTTTCAAACAGAGGCCGGCACTCGCCTTTGGTAGCGATGCGAAACTATCACTACGCCAGTATAATCTTTATTTGTTTTAAGGTAGATTTCAAGTTGAAACAAAAGTTATTATATCGCGATCGGCGCTCGGCGCCCCCTAAGATGCTGCGCCCGTGTGCGCTGCACATCCTGCACCATAGATAAAGCCGGCTCTGCTCCACAACGTGCGTTATAACACGTTAAAGTTAACGTACGCGACGGAGTGCAGTTTCCGATTGCGCGCCGATTGCTTGATTGCTTTTACAAATACACTTTGGAGCGCCTGTTAGATTGGCACGTAATGTTTCGCGAAGGCTGCTATTGCTAAATTAAAAAAAAATCATCATCATCATCGTTGTTACAGTCCTTCAGAAGTCCACCAATATAAAACCAAGAGATTCTCACAGATTTTTTTTTAAATACGAGGAAATAACTGTTACATCACAGTTAATTTAAAAAAGTTACAGCCACTAAAATGTTCAAAGAAAAAAAAAAACGTATCCGTGTTTTATCGGTGGTTAAAACAAGATTTCAGTAAGTAAATTTAATAATGAGCGAGTGTTGTGATTGTGTCGTAGTACCATGTCGACGACGGAAAGCGGTCGCAAGGTGACGGCGGCGGTGGCGACGACGGGGCGCGCCGTGGCCACCACGTCGCGCGCGGTCGGCGGCGCGCTCACGCAGGCGCGCGGCGCGCTCTCCGGCTGGTGGAGCGCGCTCACCGCGCCCGCCGCCCTTGCCACCGCTGCCAACGCCGCCACCGCTGCCACTGCACCCACCGCTGCCACCGCACCCGCACCACACGAAACATTACAAGCCTCCGACTCCGAAGATGTCGCCGAACAACTCGAGGACGACAACAGAAAGGAACCGCCCGCCCCCAACCCTGAACCTCCAGATAAATTAATAGAAGACAGCGCCACGAGCATTGGTAAAATACGCGTTATATAAATGTAGACTTAAACTGATATGTATTATATTGTTAAATCATTGTAATTATTGCATCTATTATCCTATTTCACAAGTTTTTATCATTTACCGCAGATCTGTATGTAAACCAAGCGTAACACACTTTCTACCTATTACGACGTTCCAGGCCCCATTTAGTGATGTGAAACTTCTTTCCCAACGACGTGGTAGAGCCAGCTGCAGCCACATTGTGGTTGCAGCACGAATGGGTCGGCTCGACCGAGGTAGGACCACGCTCTCACATATTACCAGCTTAAAATAGCAACTTATTGCTGCTGTGTTTCGTATGGTCAGTGTAGAAAACCGGAGACCCCTTTTACTGGAAACGAGGCATTCCATCTTAGTCTTAGGAGTGACAACACATCCGCATTTTGATTCTTAATTGAGGATAAATGTAGATGTCTATGGGCCACAGCTGTCACTTACCATCAGGTGAACTGTGTGCTCGTTTGTCACCCTATGCTATAAAAAAAAGCACTAAGCACCGCTTATTTTTAATTATAGCTTAAGAGCCTGATGAGCGGCAGACTTACGGTATTTCAATAAGCTTCATTTTTTTTGCAGTTAATCCCCTATACCTGAGGTACATGAAACGGGGACTCTTTAGTTTGACCGGCGGTTGATATAGAGACTATCAGGTGTTAAAGGTGTAAAAAAATGACCAAAAAAACCTGATAGCAATAAGTCTGCCGCTTTGATATCTTGAAATATTTAATAAAAAAATAACATTGGCAGATACCTATGACGGTTTCAAGGTCATGGTAGACAGGTTGAAACGTACAATTTTTTATTAATAATTTGCGTTATTTCAATAAAGCTGCAATTTATATATATTGTTGATAATATTATTTGACATGTATAATTTTCACGGCAGACATATATTGTGGTTGTATCACCCAGGCAGACAACAAACTTCTGGGGCGTCCATAAGTGCGTACTATAATAGCGCTCGCTCTAATACAGTCGTTAGATCAATTAAAAAAAATATATTAATTGAAAGTAAATACGATCGTTTCATATTGTTTGCAATTAATAAAAATGGGTCTGGCCACCCAATTTTGTTAAGGGTATCAAAAAATTGTATAAAAATTACGAATTAAACGGTATTCTTATTTTTTTTTCTACCTTTAAAAATGACTGAAATATTGATGAGTAAATTGGTGTTTACGGCAAGGGCGACCGCTTTGCAACGCATCGCGATGTGACGTCACAAACCGACACGTCGAAGCCACCAGTAGTCTTTATTGTTATATTTTTCTTATTCTCTCCATATTTATTACTCCATATTTTCTTGTCATGTTATTTATTTATCAGTAACCTTTATTTTCTGTTTTTTTTTTTAAAATTTCTGTTATATCACGCTCCATGGGAATAAAATGGTGACCTAAAATACAGGTTTTACCTAGTTTAGGCACCAGTTTTTCACCTAACAATAGTATTGTATCAGATGTAAGCACATATTTTTTGTTTTCTGAATGTATATTGTTGGTGAAAATAAATAAATAAATAAAATAAAATAAAAATAAATTTAATTCTACTGGAAAAAAATCATATAAAAGCTAAATGTTCAATACTTTAGTTTATACATCAAATAAAATAGTTTGTGATTCACAGTTTACATAAAGGTCTTATTTAAACACAAATAAAGTTCAGTCTGTGATCAGCCTCATGGGCATCATCATCATCATCATCATCATTACAGCCCTTCATAAGTCCACTGCTGAACATAGGCCAAGGAATGCCACAAAGTACGGTCCTGTGCCACCTGCATCCATCGACTTCCTGCATGTCTTACCAGGTCGTCACTCCATCTAGTGGGGGTCGCTCTACACTTCGCCTACCGGTACGGGACTGCCACTCGAGAACCTTTCTTCCCCATCGATTGTCGGTTGTTCGAGCTATATGGCCGGCCCACTGCCACTTCAGCTTACTAATCCGTTGGGCTATGTTGGTTACTCTGGTTCTACTGCGAATATCTTTATTTCTAAGTTTATCACGCAGAGAAACCCCGAGCATAGCTCTCTCCATAACTCGCTGAGCGACCTTGAGCTTCCTCATACGGCCAGCAGTGAAGCACCACGTCTCAGAGCCGTAAGTCATCACTGGCAACACGCGGTATCATCACGGATGTACAATTTCGTTTTCAGGTTTTGAGGTATGTCTAACGAGAAGATGTGTCGTAGTTTCCCGAACGCTGCCCAGCCGAGTTGAATCCTCATGGGCATACAAATGTCAAATATTAATAATTCATTGATTACATTATTCATAATAATAGACTAGATTATTAGATTAAATTATTCATCATAAATAATATTGATTACATTGGATTAGGTTAGATTATTCATAAATTATTAGTTCAAAATTATTATATAGTCGTTGGGTTTATTATAAGTATCTAGTATTATAATATCTAATACAGTCAACCGGACATTAACTCTGACATTCGATATAATGTGTAGGTAAACGACCGTATACTTCCGAGCGCGCGGTTAGTACTGAACTTAGCAAGTTCCTACTGCACGTTCGCTCTCTCGGATTGTGACGTCACGTCACAGAGAACGAGCGGTTAAAAATTAAAAAATATTGCGAACCTTCAAAACGTTATAACTTTCGTATTTCTGCACCAATTTGGATGAAACAAAAACTATTGTTATTTTCATAAACATAGCTTTAAAGCTATATAGGTTTTATTGTCAAATTAGAACATGTTCGTGTGACCCATTACGGGTTATGAAATAAATAAATGTCGAATAAGCACACAATAGTTAATATTTATTTGTTTGTTTTAATGTTATGATGTCCCAATATTAACTTATTCATGAAAATGTTTATTACGCATTTTATTAAAAACTCAACAATGTTAAGAATATTCAAATCATATTATTCTTTAAGGCTATCGGAGTTGTAGCCTTCAGGTTCATCGTCAGATGCATCAATTCCATCGAAATCTACATTCTCATCATCGGACGGAATAATTTCTGCAAAGAATAAGTTTCAATTTGTAAATCAACCCAATTATAATAAAATAAATAATTTAAAAGTATCAATTCTTATAAAAGGAAATTACCTGGTAGATCTGCGACTAATTCGTTCAAAAAACTGGGCAACTAATAAACGTCAAACCATTAAATATATACGTATCATTTTCTTCAATTCAGCCGTGCTCCAGTGGATCTAGTAATACTGGATATTTTTTGTGAGCATTTTTCCAAATGGTGGAAATATAATGCTTACGGAAAAATTCCTGATATAGCCCACGTTTATACGGTGGTAGAGCTTCGCGTAATTTCTTACAACATTTTTCATTGAGATCTTTTGGTCAGTAATTATTTATAAAAAGATGGAACCTGCCATCATCTACATCTACGGATTTCTTTGCATTATATATTTGACAGGCAAACTTTTGGACTGCATTAAAAAGCTGTTATTTTTGGTTCTCAGCTAAATTACTGTCACCAAAAGCTGCGAAGGCTTCTTGGTATGCCTGAGTTTTCTGTAGTAAGGTAAAGGGTTATTTTTTTCCCTTATTATTAAAGCTGGATTATAATCACAGCCCGTAAATGCATAGAAATCAAGCAAGCTTTCACTCAATAAATCACCACGTTGCTCAAATTTTTGAAATATTTATGAATCGTGCATTATTTCCTATTCCCGTGAGAATCCATACTTCAGAAGAGTTATTTTTTAAATGTTGCATATTACCAAGCATGATTATTATGATATCCGTATCAGAGCGTACAAAACTAGACAGAAAAAGATTGTATTAGAGGCGAGCGCTATTATAGTACGCGCTTATGGCCCCCCAGAAGTTTGTTGTCTGCCCGGGTGATACAACCACAATATATGTCTGCCGTGAAAATTATACATGTCAAATAATATTATCAACAATATGTATAAATTGCAGCTTTATTGAAATAACGTAAATTATTAATAAAAAATTGTACTGTTCAACATGTCTGCCATGACCTTGAAATCGTCATAGGTGTCTGCCAATGTTAATTTTCGTTAACTTTTATTAAATATTTCAAGATATCAAAGCGGCAGACTTATTGCTATCACGTTTTTTTTGGTAATTTTTTACACCTTTAACACCTGATTGTTTCTATATCAACCGCCGGTCAAACTAAAGTCCCCGTTTCATGTACCTCAGGTATAGGGGATTAACTGCAAAAAAAAGTGAAGCTTATTGAAATACCGTAAGTCTGCCGCTCATCAGGCTCTTAAGCTATTATGGGAAATCGTTCAGACTATGCGCCGCCCGCGCCTCGTATTGGAAACGCGTGCGCGGGTGGCACCCGTCCGCTTTACCCTGCACTAATAGTTAGTAGTGAAGGTACGCGCACACGCGTGCTCATATTCTATCGTCGTATTTTTTTTTAATTCGCCATATCATCAATAAAATTGATGATATGGCGAACATACCAATTTAAAAGTATTTGGTAAGTCTAATTTATTCAATATATATTTCTGTTTCCAAAATCGCTTAGAATCGAGAACATTTATGTTGCATAGAGTTTACATTACTTGTTACTTAACTTGACAAAAAAATTATAAAAGCGACAGTACTACGAAAATTAAGCGATATCCGGAAGTATTCCTTGTCCGATATCAATTTTCGATTGAAGTTTACGATTGCGGACTGAAGAGAAGTGGGGCCATGTAGCGTTTTTAACTTATACTGGGCGTGCGAAGTAGGTAAGACAAGTGTATCTACGCCCAGTGTTTTTTAATGTACACTTGTAGTCTGTGTACACAAAAAAAAAAAAAGAAACTAAACATTACATTTAGAAAATATCTTCAAATAAATATATGTTATTGCTTATTTACTGTTTCTCAAAATGTTTAAATATCATTTAATCTTATTTTTATACCTATTGTAATATTATATATTATTTGATTTTAAGTGTTTTATAAAGGTGTTTATTTCTTTGTTAAATTAAGAGAAAATTACTTTTCACATAGTTTTTAATTGGAACTTTAAA